TGACTGGCCTATAATTACCTGGATCTTCCTTCTTGCCCTTTTTGAAGGCCAGAGTGACATTGGCTATCCTCCAGTCTTCAGGCACCTCCCCCATCCTCCAAGACCTCTCATAGATGACAGAAAGCAGTTCAGCAATCACCTCTGCCAGCTCCCTCAGATGCATCCCAGCGGGTCCCAACATACTTAAAAATATACTTCAAAAAGCCTTTTTTACTTTCCTTTATCCCCTTCGCCAGATTTAATTCCAGGCAGGCTTTAGCCTTCCTCATTGCATCCCTGCAGGCCCTGACAACATTCCTGTATTCTTCCCAAGTAGTCAGACCCTTTTTCCACATTTCATGGGCCTTCTTCTTTCCTTTGAGTTTGTGCATGAGCTCCTTGCTCATCCACACAGGTCTCCTGCCACCCTTTCCCGATTTCTTGCTCACAGGGACACACTGATCCTGAGCATGGAAGAAGAGCTGCTTAAATGCTGACCAGCTCTCACAGGCCCCCTTCCCTTCTAACACCCTAGCCCATGAGACAGCTCCAAGTAGGTCCCGAAAGAGATCGAAGTTGGCTCTCCTAAAGTCCAGGATAGCAATCCTACTTTTTGCTTTACTTCTTCCACTCAGGATCTTGAACTCCGCCATCTCGTGGTCACTACAACCCAAGCTGCCCCTGACCTTTACTTCCCTGACAAGCCCTTCTCTATTAGTGAGAATAAGATCCAGCAGTACCCCTCTCCTCGTCGATTCCTCCACCACCTGCATCAGGAAGTTGTCTTCAACACATTGCAGGAACCGTCTGGACCGCGCGTGCCTGGCCACATTGCTTTTCCAGCAAATATCTGGATGATTGAAGTCCCCCATAAGCACCAGCGCCTGGGATTGTGATGCTGCTTCCAGTTTCTTGTGGAAGGCCTCATCAACCTCCTCCTCCTGACTGGGGGGCCTGTAGCACACACCCACAACGGTGTCAGCCATACCAGCCCGCCCCTTGATTCTCACCCACAAGCTCTCCACTGCTACACCGCTCTCCCCCAGGTGCAGTTCAATACATTCAAGCTGCTCTCTCACATAAAGAGCAACTCCACCACCCCGCTTCACTGGCCAATCTTTCCTAAAAAGCACATAGCCCTCCATGACAACATTCCAGTCATGCGAGCTGTCCCACCACGTCTCCATGATCGCAATGAGATCGTAGCCGTGCGACCGCACGCAGATCTCCAACTCTTCCTGTTTATTTCCCATACTGCGCGCATTAGTGTATAGACACTTGAGGGAGGCAGCATTCCCCTGCCACACTCCATCCCTTCGAACTCCACCCTCATCACCCATCAAGTTCTCTTTTGAACCTCGAACTACCTGCACAACCTCAGCAGCCCTCATTTTATCCCCTTCCCCCTTCTTACCTAGTTTAAAGACCTTTCAATGAGGCCCAGCTCCTGGGCTAGGATCCTTTTACCCCTTGCAGACAGGTGAGCTCCTTCTGCAGCCGTCATGCCAGGAGCCGAGTAAATTGCCCCATGATCAAAAAAACCAAAGTTCTTGTCCCTGCACCAGCCTCTAAGCCATTTATTGATGAGGAGGGTTTTTTTTGATCCTCTCAGCGTCCTTCCCTGCCACTGAAGGGATAGAAGAGAAGACCACCTGCACTCCCGCACCATCCAGTACCCTCCCCAGACCCCTGAAGTCATTCTTGATTGCCCTTAGGCTTCTCTTGGCAGCATCATCACTGCCAACCTGAACTACCAATAAGGGGTAGTAGTCAGATGGGCGAATAAGCCCAGGCAGCTTTCTAGAGATGTCCCTGACCCGTGCCCCAGGGAGGCAGCACACTTCCCTCCGGGTGGGGTCAGGTCGACATATCAGGCCCTCAGTTCCTTGTAGAAGGGAATCACCTACAACTATCACCCTCCTTTCTTTACCGGAAGAGGCGGTCTTCAAGCATGGAGCCGACTGTCTCTCCTTAGCAAAGCTCAGAGGCTGTTCCACCACCTCATTCTCAGCCTCCTCACCCTCCAGTTCCAGGGTTTCAAACCTATTACTTAGAGGCACCTGAGGAACAGAGGTAGGTCTGGAAGGGCGCCGCCTGCGTCGCTGAGGTGGGACATGCTGCCATTCCTCCTCTCAAGTCAGCTCTCTCGGTTTGACCACGGCAAGGGAGAGAGGCCACTACAGGCTGGGGGTTGCAATCTCTGCTTGTTTCTCGCAGAGTTACACCACCAGTCTATCTCCCTCTCGCAGTCTCTAATGGATCTTAACCTCTCCACCTCTTCCCTAAGCTCCGCCACAAGGCTGAGCAGCTCATCCACCTGCTTGCACCTCCTGCAGGTGCCATCCCTCCCATCGTCCCCCCCAGCAGACTCAGGCACTCCCTGCAGCCAGAGACTTGAACTGCTGCAGTTCGGGGCAGTCCCTCCATCTGGGTCGCCAGTCTTCTTGGTCTCTAGCAGATGGCGGGCTTGCTCCATGTTTGAACTTACAGCCTCCGGGTCAGCAAGTGGGAGAGCAGTCACTGGAGCAAGTACAAGAACACTGACACGTCCTGCCGCAAGACCCACCTCCCACACCTACTGGTGCAGCAATGGGCAGCTCACACACTGCCTGCCCTCCCTGTCAGCAGTGGGAAGCAACACCCTTTTTTCACCAGGCACGTTAGGTGGGCAGGAGCTTACTTCAGGGAGTAATAGAATCACCGAGGATGGAAAAGACCTCAAAGATCACCCAGTCCAACCATCCAACTACCACCGATATTTCCCCACTAAACCATGTCCCTCAGTACATCTAGATGGCTGCTGAGCACCTCCAGGACTCTACCAATTCATGGGGCAGCCCATTCCAGCACCTGACTACAATTTCAAAGAAATTTTTCCTGACATCCAACATGAACCCCCACCTCCACCCCCAGCACAACCTGAGGCCATTCCCTCTAGTCCTACCTCTACTTATGTGAAAGAGGCCAACCCCCATCTTGCCAAGATCACCTTTCAGGAAGTTGAGAGAGCAACAAGGTCTCTCCTGAACCTTTTCTTCCCAGGAGGAAACAATCCCAGTTCCTTCAGCCTCTCCCCATAAGCCTTGTGCTCCAGATTCTTTGCAGCTTCGTTGCCCTTCTCTGGACACACTCCAAGGCCTCAATGTCTTTCTTGTAGCGAGGGACCCAAATGTAAGCACAGCACTGAGATGCAGCCTCATCAGAGCTGAGTACAGAGGGATGATCACCTCCCTGCTCCTGCCGGCTGCGCTGTTTCTGATACAAGCAAAGACACCACCGGCCTTCTTAGCCAGCTGGCACACTGCTGGCTCGCATTCAGCTGAGTGTCGACCAACACCTTCATTTTCTCCATGCAGCTTTCCAGCCACTCTGCCCCAGGCCCGTAGCACGGCACAGGTTTGTTGTGATGAAAATACAGGACCCAGCCCTCGGTCTTGTTGAACTTCATCCCACTGTCCTCAGCCCAGTGATCTAGCAACTCATAATTCTCCTGACTCACAACAGCCCCAAGCTCCTCCTTCCTGCTGCCCTCCCTTCTCCATACTGGTGTGGACACAATCCAGCTGGGCTATCAGTCTCGCACCTAACTCTGACGTGCTGCCCCTAACCTCATCTCTAAGGGGAATGGAGACAAGACCAAGAAGCTCCTTCAAACTTAGTTGAAAGCCCCCTCAATGAGCACTGCCAACTCCTGGGCTGGAATCCTTTCCCCCCCGTTGAGACATCTGTCACCAGTAGGCCTTGTTCTGTATAAACTGCCCTCATGATCAAAGAAAAAAAAAATCCACTGATGGCACAAACCTCTTAGACACATGTTGAACAGTTGTGGTTTCCTGTTCTTATCATCTTTCCTTGCTTCTGAAGGGATCAAGGAAGACACCACCTCAGCTCTCACTCCTCCAGCTAGTTGCCCTAGTACCTTAAAATCCCTTGAAACCCTCAGACCTCTCTGCACCATCACTGCTGACTTAAACAACTAAAAGCTGGTCCTTGGATTATTACCTCACAAGACCAGGGAGGTTCCAAGTGGCCTTTCCCCTGGGGAGGGTCCAGTCAGTATATTGGGCCCTCTGTTCCCCTCAGAAGGGAGTTGCCTATGACAACTACCCTTCTTTTGTTCCCACAATTCATTCAACAGGCGAGCTGGCTTTATTATTTTTCAACTGTATAAACAGATAACCTGGTCTTCTATGCATTAATAGGAAATTCTTTACATTATTAACATAATAAATAACATTTACTCAGCTGTGTGAGCACACTACTACCAAAATAGACCTCTCATTAAAGCATATATTTCAAGTTAAAAGCAAGATGCCAGGACCAAATAGCATGACTTGGCATTTGCAATTTAAAACATGTTTCATCTCCCTCCCTTACCACCCAAAGCCATGGGCCAGACGAGGGGATATTAACACCACATCCTATAGCCTTTTCATTAAATATGAGCTCTGAAGAAATATTTCACCCTTCAGAATCAAAGCAATCCCATCATTAAAGCAAAAGCATCTGTCAAGTCACTTCTGCATACTCAAGCATCCATTGCCATTCATGCTGACTAATGGAACGTGCAGGACTAGGAACACTTTTTGAGGAGAACTACAGAAAAACACTTCTGAAGGAGTTTACCTGTTCTCCTTATTACAATCACAGCTTGAATAATTGCAGCTGGGCACACAACAGAACAGAAGCCCTGAAGACTTAAGGACCTGCTGTTGTTTTCAAGAGGATGCATCTGAAGCCTCCTAAAGCACAGGAGTTCCACAACACTGATATCACAGTGGCATTTCACACAAGCCAACCCACATACACAGGGGAGTTTGGTATGCAGACCAAAGGGAGACAAAGGGAGGGACTGCTGGAATCCTAACAGAGGGAAATGGCAGAAACCCACGCTTAGATCCAGTGGCCAGATACCTTAAAACGTGGAATGAGTTTTAAACCAGACCATACAATCACCCACAGATGGAAGAATTAAGGACCTCCATTTCAAAACCACACTTAGCACACAGTAGTCTCTCACATGGCAAGAATGGCAGCTGCTTTATATCCAGAATGTGACTGGGATGGCTTCAGAAACATCTTGCGCACAACAGTCAGTAGTCCCAGCTGATATCATCCTTCTGTAGTGAGGTTTGTATAGTCTGCATGTCTCTCAGCAACTGAAGGTTTTTACGGCTCTTCTCTCCAGGTTTCACTTTGATGGGACCAGCATCCTTTCCTTTGGTGGTTACAGTTGTTGTTACTTTAACCTCACTCACAGGAAACTTGCTGTCTTTTCTGTGCTTAGCAGAAGCCTTTTTGGACTTGCATTCTCTTTTAAGTCTCTCAAGCTGAAAGTAAAGCCCAAATGAGAACATTAATCACTGACATTGTTTTGGTTTTTTGGCAATTCTTCCAGACAACTGAGAAATCCCACCACTCAGCTCGGTCAGCTACACAAACAGCTTCTGCACTGCCCTGAATAAGAAGCATCTTATTTTCCTTACATGGCACTGCTATATTCACCTCTTCAGAGCAGTGCTCAGATTATAGTCTGAACTATAAGGTTCACTCTTTAAAAATCAAAAAGTTGATTATGGTTTTATGGGGAATGCCTCCACCATGAACAAAAAAGAAAAAGTATTGATTTTTATAATCCAGTCATTAAAAAACAGACAAAGGATTTTCCACATATGTACTTCTGATCTTAGCAGCTTGTCACTGCCAGAGATAGATCTTCAGGGAGAATACCAAGACACCACTTAGACAAAGAGCTGGTATCCACACAGCTCTGCAAATCACAGGCATACTCAGCAACAGTTAGCACAAGGTTGTATGGCAACTGGACAGTCCAAGGTGCAGACACATTCACACCAAACTGCAGAACGAGCTGTATCCTTAGCTCCCCCACATTAGATAGAAGTCACCTCTCCCCGCCCAATTTATAAGAATCCACATTGAGGAGAGTCAGTGAAAGCCCATGGGAATCAGCTGAGCTTATCAGAAGTTTAGAGTTTTCTTCAATGCAAAGAAAGAGCATTGCATGAGGCCATGTGCAGCTGGTTGTCACTATGATCCTCATACAAAACAGTTGCTGTGGTGAGATGTATGCTGAGAGTGGGACTGATCCAAACATGCAGCTACTTGGTATGCCAGAAATACCTCCCAGACTGAACACTGAGGTCCAGCACCTCTCCCATTCCATTCCCACTCCATACGCTCAGCTTGCAGACCACTCACCCAGTTTACATGTGAGACTTAGAGACTTTAGAGACTTAGCAGCTGTGAAAGCTTGCTATTGTACTGCAGGTGATCTTTTCCCTGTTTTGCAGATGAGAGGAGTATAAAATGTCATGTAAGATCAGATGCAAAACTCTGCCCAGGACAGAATGGAGAGCAGGCAAATGGGTAACATGGTAAGGCAGAAAGCATCCTTCTGCAGGAATACTGGAATAGAAAGATAGCAGCACGCAGACTGACTTCGGAATGCGAAGCTAAGGCTAGGCACTATGCTATAATAGTTATTTCTGCTTCACACTATGGCTGCTACATTAGAATGTACAATACAGTAATAAAGATGCAAATTCACAGAAGCATGATCATAGGCAAGTAACTCACCTGCAGCCAATGCCTTCGGACTTTGCTGATCTGATCTGCCTTTGCCTCCATCTTTCCCACTAGTGCCTCCAGTTCCCTTTCCAGATCTTCCCTTACTGCAATGGTTGGAGCTTCCTGGACAAGCTTAGACAGCTGCTGGTGATCACTAACACAGAATACAGACAGATCAAAGCTTGCATTAGACTTAGTGCTGGTGTACACAGCCACAGTAGCAGCAGCCCAACAAGTTCAGCATGCCATAGTGAACCAATAAGAACAGTTTCGTTAATGAGTAGCATCATTAAGTCTGCACACCCTGGCAGCAGGCTGCTGCAAGATGAAGCTGTCAATAACCAACAGTTTCAAACTTCTACATGCACATTTAAAATTAAAATTAATGACCCCTTAAGAAAGAGAACTCAGCACTTGTTCAGTTACTACTTTACACATTTGTTTCTACTGCTGCTGGGCTGTCAAACAATTCACAGTCTGTTAGCCAGGATGAGCAAGAGAGTTGGTAAAGCTGTCTTTCCATGGAATGTTTGTCCAATGCATTGGAGGCTGTTGTTATACTTCTCCCCAGCTCCTCAAAAACATGATACCACTGCACATAAACACACATCTGGAGTCCCAAGATTACCAGAATCAATCTGTAACTGCAGAAAGAAAGGAAAGCCTCTGCAGCTAGAACAAATAGATTATATGCCACAGACTTCCAAACACAAATGCCTTCCCCAGCAAGACTTTCCAACTTCAAAGCAAAAATATAAAACATATGCATTCGTTGTCTGCAGTGTCAAATACATCAAACTTACAAACTCATCTGCCCAAACTCATCCTGTAAAGTCAGCAGAACTTCTGAGAGCTCTTCTTGTGATGAAGAATAGTCCTTTGGCAGCGGTGGCTTTCTGCTTCTGCTGGCAGGACGACCAGCACTGATGGATTTTGCTAGTGGAGCATCATTCACCACACGATTATTGCACAAAGCTTTTGTGTGATGCTTCATGAGGTGTAGGACGTGTTGTACATTGGCACCAACTGAATGACTGGGACTTGTAGACTAGAAGGAAAATACCTCTTTTAAGTGACATTGTCATCAACCTACTTATTTTAATGAAAAACACAAATGAGGATTTATTTGCTGCCAATGTACTTTTATCTTTGAGTGCGCACACATAACAGGAATAGCCTGACCAGCAAGCAGCACAGAAGACCCATGTTAGGAAACAGCAGTTCAGCAAGCTTTTTAAGATAAACTGGAATAAAAGAGCCAAAAGAAAACAAGATCTGACCACTGGGTGTCAGGAGTGCACCATGCCAAAGCCATTGAAGGAGCTGCAGCTACTGAGCATTAAGCTTTGGAATTTGGCAGCTCACCTTCCCAGCTACAAAGGGTACATCACCCAGACACAGTCTGTAATGGGGCTGCGTAGTGAGATGGCTTGTAAGAGAGCATTTCTGAAAGGAAAGAAGAGAGAAATGTTTATCAAAGATGACACTACAGCAAACCCACTGTTCCTCAGCTTTCTGATAAAAGAGGCAGCCTACTTTCTGACTGCATGCACACATTTATTTCACTTCTCAGTAAACACCCTTCTCTTTCCCATTACCTTCTCTGGCTGCTTAGTTTTCTTCCTGGGTTTTCTTGCTTTCGGAGAAAGCAGTGGTGATGCTGCTTGAATCAACAGTCTGTTGGTTTCCAGGCCTGTCTGAAGCTGCAATTAAGGGAATGAGGGAAATGATTAAAATTACATTAACAGACTATCAGAGAGGAGGTGCTCAGATTGGCAACACAGCAGCTTTTAAAACACAAGCTCTTTGAAAGCAAGGGCTGCAAGTGCATAGATGCTTCTGCAGCCTAATCTAAACATCAGACAAGAACACTTCCTTCAGTAACACTTCTCATCAATAATCCCAGTAAGTTAAAGAATGAGTTGTGCTGAATAACTCCCAAGGAAGCAGGTGTCAAAACAACAGCTGTTTTATACTTAACAAAATACTAAGGAAGTCAAGTGACCAGCCCTCCTCCACTGATTTTGTGGCATATATGCTCTGCTGCTGCTTCTTGCAGCCTTAGAAATCATCTCCCAAGCAATCTCAACTAGAAGCAGTAACAAAACATTCATGATTAACTTGAGCTCACCACTTACTGGAAAGGTTACAGACAGAGCCTGCCATGTTACTGAAATACTTTTTCAGCATACAACTGCTCAGTATGTAATGACCACAGAAGAAGGCCAGTGTCCTCCTTTACAGATTCACAATCTCTCTTTTTGCCTCCTTATGCAGTGTTTCTAGTTAAAATTATAAAGGGAACACACTTCTTGACCTTGATCTATTTAAAGCAGATATGTTCATACACCTTGGCTACAAATCAGTCTGAATTTCTTTTCCAACTAGCTTCTTTTATTAAAAAAAAAAAAAAACCAAAAACAAAGTGCATAGTGCACTAAGTGCATTAAGTGCATAGATGCTGCTAGAAAAAGGTTTGCAAAGCACTCAGAAGAACATCAGGTGAGAGGATGGCATGAAGACTACATCTGCAATCTGTATGTAGCAGACATCAGCAAATTTAGTTGAGAAGTTGATGAATTAGGAAGAACTAATTACAGTGCACAGCAGTACAAAAGAATTTTCCTGCTGTTACCTCAGCTGCTTTTTCCTGAACGAGCTTCCTTGCGTGTTCCTCCTCCTGAAGTTTCAGTTCCAGCTCTTTCATTTTTTTCTAGTCAAAGTTGAATGAAAACAAAGGCATTACTGGCAAAGCAAATTCTTTCTTCATGAAGTGCACAATACTGAGAGGTTCAGCGGAAGTTTATCAGCTCAACTTGCAATGTTAAGACTTCAAAACTAAAATCGCTGAAGCAATGTCACCTATATACACATAAATACAACAGTGTAGTGGTTACACTTCAGATTGAAATAGTTTTTCTATTTTTTACTTCCAGAATTGGTATATAAATTTCAGTTGCATCCTACAGGAAGAGTAATACATGAGGTTGAACTCCGATGATGTTTTTGACCATACAGTCACCTTTTTAATAAAGATTAGAATGGAAAGGCAACTTAACATCACCCACCCATCACAATGTGTCAGTTTTTGATTCCCACATGGACAGCTGCACAAAGATTCCTGTTTAACCTGCTGCACGTGACAGTTTTAATACACAAATGCTGAAGCAAATCTTTCGTTTGAACTGAAGACTGACAGGAAGTCAAACCAGTGCTTTCACACAGAAATGGACCAAGCATCCACTTGGTCAGCTGTCTCAGCTGGAGGGTACAGCTCAAGTTGTGCAGCAAGAATGCATCTCACTACATCTTCAGTGAGAGACCACTGTGGAAATTCTGGGACACTCCCAAAGTATTTTTTTTTTCTTCCCTACAGTCAAACAGCATTCTGAAATCCCCTTTCCAGGCTCAGCTCTCACAACAGTTACATCCCACAGGCAGTGTAGAATCCTGGTCTATGACCAAGAAGTAAGCAAGCTGGTGGCCTGGCTAGTGGAAACATAGACCTTCCCTGACCACATTTCCCATTGCATAAGGTAACAGGACTGCAAGCTGGCACCAAACTGATTAAAATGCTCTGCTCAGTCACTGCTAACCATAAAAAAAAAAAATCCACATGTAAAAATAGGAATTATTTTAACATGTTTTTGTCCATTTTTGAAGTTACATAAATTTCATGTGACCACACACACGATCACTGAAGTAAGTCTCAAAGGACTTGAAATGGAAAGGTATGAGAGCTCAATGATACAGGATGCCTTCACTCCCTAGTCGTTGGCTGCTAAGACAAACACCCAGCCATATCTACCAGACAAAAAACATCCGTGGTGTGAAGGCAGCTCCCACCTCTGTGCTTCACTGCCCTGCAAATCAGCATCTGCTTGGCAGCTGAGCAGCCAGCACGTGCATAGCTCCAGCAGGACAGCTGCTGCTACTCACCACCTGGCAATTAAGGGAAATAAGAAAAGCAGGAGGAATAGGTAGCACGTAGCCACAACACGATGCTCATTACTTCTGCTGTTCATTCACAGAACAGCATTCTGGTTTTGTCTCACAGTTAGCATTAAGATGACTAGCAACAATTCTTCAAAGCATATGACTTGCACATATACTCAAATTCTAGCTGATATGCAGAAAATCAGAGCCCTTGCCATGCTTGTAGCCTCCACCATCAGACACAGGCATGCTCAGATCCTCTCAGGCAGCTGTCCAGGCACTGCAGGACTGCTGTTACACCGTTCTTACACCACACACTTTTGAGTTAAGGACTCTGATGAGGAGACCATCAGATGAATGCAAATCTCAGTATCTCCTTTTTACAAGCAGTAACATCTTCATGTGGCTTGAAAGCAATACTAGGTAACAGCTCTACAAATCTTGGTGATTAAAAACCACGCACACAACTTCTGCTCTGTCAGAGTCTGAAATTAGAGGCAGGGAAATCATTGTTCACTCAGAACCTCTCCACTTTCATACTCTTCAGTACACCATGTATGGAAATAGCCCCTACTTCTCACATCAAACGAGGTTTGCAGATGTTTTTGTGGTCTTGCCACAACTAAAGCAGAAACAACAGCTGCAACTGTTAAGATAACACTTGCACAGCAAGGTTAAAGCAGAAACACGGCTGACAAGCAGAAGCAGTCCAAGCTGCTGATCTGGGAACAATCCATGACAGCAAGAGGATCACAAGGAAAATGACCTTCAGAGCTAAACCCAGATTTCTCTGTTCCAAGAGCTGATTACTGTGTGAATTTAGTATCTTTGGTCCAAGAGAAATAACTAAATTTAATGCTGAAATTCTCTTCAGCAGCCAGTCGCAAGATAACAAATAACCCCACCTAACTTCAGCTGCTCCCAGTCCAATGCTTGGTAAATGCTCATTAGAAGCGATTCCTGTTGCTGAACCTCTTATTTCAACCTTGACTCTGGAGGAACCTACACAGGAATACTAAATATGGGCAAGAATGCCTGGAAGACACTCATAGTTTGACCTGGGTAAAGAATAGACTTCTTTTTATTCTATAGAAGGAGCTCACAATGGGGTGTCAAGATCTTGACCAACTTCCTACAGCTGCCTTGGAACAGAGTCTGTCAGGAAGAGCTGTGCTGTCTAAAGATCCGTAGAATCCTCAGTTGGATGATTTGCTACCTTACACACTCTTGGAAGAGCACTATATCAGCACCTGGTGAGGGCTGCATGCAGGTGGCAAGCTTACAATTTTGCTGGAGTCCAGAACTATCCCCAGTACCACACCCCAACAACATCCTGTCTGCTCTTGAAGGGGACAGAATGTCAGTGGGTGGAAGCCTCTCCCTCGTTAAAGCCTTCTGTAGTTCCCATACTTCAGCCGTGTGGTGTCTCTCCAGCAGCAGAAAGGATGCAGATTGGATTTCAGAAGCCAACAGCAGGGATGGTACACAGAAAAAGATACGATGGAACATGGCCATACTGAACTTTTAAAAGCTATTGGTTCAAACTGTATCTTGAAAAAGCAGATTAAATGCATTGACAACCAGCCAGGGCTGGAGGGCAGGCAATGCCAGACTGCAACAGGCAATGCCAGAATTCTGCCCACAAAATAATTGCATTTCTTAAGACAAAGGTCAAGTGGCAAAAAAAAACAAAAACAACAACAAAACAAAACCACCAACCCCAAACCAACTAAAACCAAAACTAACAAAAAGCCAACCACACTACACCCTCAAGTCAAATCAGCTAACATCCAGTAGGGTGCAAGGTACCTCAGGGAGGTCAAGAGTTCACAAACATCCACAATCCTACATGCCAACCAAACACAAAAGACAAATACCAACAGATATGGTTAAGTCTAAACAAAACCCCAAGTGCTGCAGGGTGCAGTGACCTACAGCCTGACTGACCATGAAGACTTCCATTTTTACAAAGATCTTTACCTGTTCTTTTTCACTACAGGACATTCTATTACTCAAGCTCTGTTATTGTTATATAGCTACAAAGTGCTGCATACAATAAGCAAGATTTATCTGTTACAGCACACACAACAGACCTCTGCTATGGACTGCATTGCAGTAAGCCTGGTGTATTCTTTCTCCAACATATCCAGCTTCTCCAGTTTCAACTGAACATGTGACTGATCAAGCCGTTCTCTCTCCAATGACTCCTTGAAGGGAGAAGTAAAAAGGAGAATGATTATAAGCACAGCAAAACAAGCATATATATAGCAAGCTTTATGCATGCAACATGAAGAAGGACCACAAAACAACTACTTCATCTGTCTGATTTTAAGTAGTGCAACAACTAAGGAGCAAATAAGCATTGTTGGCACAGCTGGGAACTCTGTTCATGCTGGGACCTCAAACCCAGCCAGAATGAGAAAAATTCTGCAGCCTCCCTTCCATTCCATCCCAAATAGGACAAAAAAAACCCCATTTTATTAGTCAGTAATTAGAGGCAATTTTCTTTATTTCTTCAGTAAATGTTTAATAGTCTGAAATAGGGGAGCCACAGAAACCAGTGAACAGAGAGCCCTACGTGATCCACATACATACAAAAGAAAGTTTAAGCTCATTTCTGACATAGGACAAATCCCCACAATAACTGATGATAGGAAAAACAATTCACCATCATTTCTACAGAATTAATATTTCAGATCCAGTTTATCAGGGAAAGTACTAATTGAAAGAAAATCTCAATAGATTTGAAGACCAATCACAAAAGGGAAGGTTTGTCCACTGACTGTCAGTTATACTCCAAGGCATATGGATGAGCTTAGGCAAGTGAGAATTACTTGCTGGTATGCGACTCACTAATACCAGAGCCTTTAGTATTGCCACAGAGACAGATGCACAAAGGTTTAAAAAAAATAAAATAAAATACCAGGGTCCTAATAATACTGAAAATGATATAAAAGCCAGCTCAGACACCCGCGCTTGAAGGCATTAACTCTACGAAATCATGACACAGTTCATACAATTATGTTTCTCCCACATTTAATCCTGAGAACACACCTGTTTCTCCAAGAGCTGTGTCTTCTCCCTTTCTGCATGCTGGATCATTTTTCTCATGTAGTCCAGCTGTTTCTCCAACAGGCTGTACCGAGACTCAGCAGCTGCCAGCTGAGAAGCCAGTTCTGAAGGTAACAGAAGGCCAAAAAGTGAAATTAAAGTGCTGCTCGTAGGGGCTGTTTTGGGACATTTTTAGGACACTTCAAAAACAAGCAAGGAAAGGCTCATCTAAAACCCAGACGATGCTGAATCAACTCATACACGCAGCAAACCCCCCAGAACAAAGCTTGCTTTTAAAACAACTGCTTCAAAACTCCATGCTTCACTACAAAGTAAAGAGACTGAACAAAGTCAGCTAGAACAGCTTCATGCACTGGTGAAGGCCAGATTACATCCACATCAGTGTGGATGAAATTATTACCTACAGCAACCAACCTTGATTTTTCTTTGACACTTCAGTTCTGTCACGCTCTCTGTGCTGCATTTGCTCACTCAGTACTTTCTTGTAGTCTGCTGTTTCTCTGCTGAGGTGTTTGACATTCTCCTCTGCCTGAAGCCGTTCCAACTCCAGCCGACGAATTTTTTCCTGAAGATTCTTCAGAGCAGAAAATATTGCTGTAATTGAGTGAGCATCTTTTGTTAGTTGCTTTTACAAGCACAATTCAAGTTTGATGTTACCTTGAAAAATGTGCTACGTAAGAAAGCCAGAACTCCTCCCCACCAGCCAGGACTCCCTCCATGAATTATTGCTCAGGTAAATATTCTGCAGATTAAGTGCAAACAGTGCCCCTTCTGACTTTTGTCAGCTGGAAATTTAAAGTGACAGCTGAACTATTAAAGCAGTGGCAACTTCTCCATACATTTGTTATGCCTCCACAAGCACATGCAGAAAACATTCCTATTGGTGACCACAGAGGAGTATAAAGGTCAGAAAGTAAGAGTTGTTTATTTCTCCAAGCAGGAGCTAACCTGTTATACCTCTGCTATACCTGTTATACTCCTCATGCCCACAACACACGTGCCCTCTCTGTGCTAACCAGCTTCCCCATTTCTGTTCCCTTCCCTACTCCAACAATTGCTTAAAGCCCTTCTACACTCATCACAGAAAAAAAAGCAGCTGTAACATAACTCTCACCACCTTGCCATCAGACCACCTGCCTGTTAGCTGTATTGTTTCATTCTGCAAAGGGAACCACAAACATAAGCTCCTTCCCCTACACAGTCCTACTGAAGTATAACATGAGAACACCAGCACAGACAGCTGATAGAGCAGATGTGATTCATGTTAGCCTGCTCCCTTGTGCTTAAACCTGCTCTAGAGAAAGGAGGCATGAACACAGGAAAAAAACTGAAACTGCATTTTTGGTTGGGCATCACATTACAAGAAAGGAAAAAAAAAAAAAAAAAAAAGGATGTGTTTTCCAAAGTGAAAAATGCATCAAAGCTCGAAATGCAGAGAACTGAGCAACCAGCTTGCTTGCTATAAGGCAGTTTAAATGGTTCAGAAGGGAATGACAGCAGTTACAGCTAAGGGGAAAGTTGTAGATGACCTAATCCAACTTGCAGGACCAGAATCACCAACTATACCCTCTTCTCTTGATATTACCATTACCAGGCCTCAGGTGAAACTGGCATAGCTGGAGCTATCAACAGCTGTTACATAATCCCAGGGGCTAAATTAAAACCTCGAGTATTTACAGTAACAAGGAGCAAAATAGATCAGTGAAGCAATTTGAGCAATGAATGGATAAAGGTGGAATCCTACAGGATGCCAAGTATCACTTCAGAACAAAGAAATATCCAAGGAACAGTTACTTTGTACCAGCCTTCCCGATTAGAGTATTAAAACAACCACCTACCCTGAAACAAACACAGAGCTCTAATCAAAACAAGCAGAATTTACTCTGCATAGTTTCCAGGTTTTAAATACGATTTTTTAGAACAGGGAGGCAGGAGCAGTAAGGAAACTTCAGAACAACCAGATCTATCCTCCCATTTGAAATTAACTCCCAAATCTTTATCCTTTCTAGAATATACACTCACAGAAATGTTAGGCCTTGTAAAGTCTACACAGACAAAAAAAAGATATTTGAGAAACTGCCTGTTTGATTTTATTATTTCCTATATGCACTCCTATTTACATATATACACATTTAATAAACCACGTCCCTTTTTATAAATTGTCCCCCTACCTGCATTTGTTTCCAGAGTTGCAGATTACTTACTTGAGAAAAGCTGGAAGTAAAAACTTAAGCACCAAAAACTGATCAACACGAAACACCATGTACAAAAACACACCTGCATCACTTACAAGTAAGCTCTTTGCAGCACATCCAGTTTTTGTGTCATACAAGTCCTTGAGCTGAGCCTGCAGCCCTCTCAAACTGACTGCATTCTGCATGTCAGAGCATATATTACCTTTCATCCAATAGATCATTAACATCCAGGTCTCTAAACTCCAACATGAATTACAACATTGGAACAAGTACTTGAGCCTATCATGACTTTATTTTCATAGACTAACTTAAGGTTCATCCTAAATCTCATTCCCTTTTCCCTTCATAGGGAAGAAAACAGCAGATCTGTCACAGCCTCTGTGCAATGCCAGTCTCCAGGGGGTGTTTTCTCAAGGAGCCTGTCCCAGGCAGCTCACATAGAATCATAAAATGGCTTGAGTTGGAAGGCACCTCAAGGATCATCAAGCTCCAAACCCCTGTCACAGGCAAGGTCACCAACCACCATATCTAATAGTAGACCAGGCTTCCCAAGGCCCCATACAATCTGGTCTTGAATACTTCCAAGGTTGGGGCATCCACAACCTCTCTGTGCAGCTGTTCCAGCCAGGCTCTGGGCAGCCTGGTCTGATGGTTGGTGACCCTGCACATAGCAGGGAGGTTGAAACGAGATAATTGTGCTCCTTTTCAACCCAGGCTATTGTATGACTCTATGATTCTTACCTCTGCTGTTGCTCTCAGGATAAGGAACCACAGGTTTGTGAGGGGAGCGCAGCAGATCGGAATTGATGAAGGGCTTGTGCTTTGGGTAGTCCAGGTAGGAAGCTGCAGAGTGTCTGTCTGTGGCCGATGCAGACTTCGGAGCTCTGCACAGCTCACCCTGCGAACAAAAAAGAGCCGTTACGGCACGCGGGTGTCTGTTCCTCTGTGACAAAGAAGGCAGACCGAGATGATGAAGCGTGGAGAAGCCCCGCCACAGCACACGGCAGCGGCTCCAAGGCTGCATTCCTCCCCTGGCAGCCTTCACACCGCAGCCTCCTTCCTGACAAAAATAAAGCACCTCGAAGATAAAGTTCTTCAAGCTAGCTTTTAATTCCTGCTTTTGCGCCGCAGTATCGCTTACGGCGGAGCCCCGATCCAGAATCAGCCGGGCGCGCGTTACAGGCACGGACATCAGCGCAGGAAAAGGGAAACGGGCTGAGCGAGGAGACAGAAACGTACAACGGCCGCTCGGAAGCGACAAGTGCCAAGGCGCGGCCCCAGCCTCAGTCCCCGCGGTGACCCGCCGGTCTCACCGTGCGCTGCTGCCCCCGCACCGCCGCCATGTCCACCGGAGCCGCGCGCTCAAGCACGGCCTTTTCGCGCACGGCCCTTTGAGACCGCGGCGATGGTGCCGCCCGCTCTTGTCACGTGACGCTTGAGCGGCGGGGCGGCTCGCCAATGAGAAAGGAAGAGCGGAGGTGAGCACCGCCCCCGAATGCTCGCCGCGTAGCGTCACGCATTCAGATTTGAGTGACGTGCCGATCATCCAATAAAAAAGAAAAACAACGCTTCTCAGCCAATCGAAGGACACGAGACGGTCGAGGGGGCGCGGACTCTCTTCACCAATCGCGTGAGCCGAGAGAACGAAACCGGGAGGGGCGAGCGGCCGCGGGATTTGTGTGCTGCACGAGAAGCTCTCTGCGCACGCGCAGCGGGCAGGTAGCGGAAGAGGACGGTCTTTGTCAAAGTGAGCCCCTAAACGTCGGCCAATCAGAAAGCAAGAATCCCCAGGCGGGACCTATCAGTGCCGCGAGCAGCGGGCCATCCAATCGACGGGCAGCGCAGGGCGGCGCGTTCGCGTCCGGATTGGCGGCTCCGAGCGGCGCGGGGGCGGCGATTGGGCGGCGAGTTTTGAAGGCCGGTTTGGCGCGAGGCGGTGATTGGCTGCCGCGGGAGCTCCGAGCCCAGGGTGGAGGGAAGGGCGGGGGGCGCGGGGTGACGCCGACACCGACACAAGGGGGAGGCGGCGCGGCGGCGGCGACGGCGCGTGGGGCCTAGGGCGGCGCGGGGCGGCGCGGGACGGGCAGGAGCGCTCCCGGGCACTGCGGCGGGAGGGGAACGGGGGGCGCGGGCGGCACCTCGGCTCCGGGCCTCGCCCCGCACCTCCCTCATCCCCTCCCTCGGGCCCGCCCGCGACCGCCCCGCCGGCAGCGGCGCGGATGGCGGCGGCGGCAGCCCCGGCTCTGTACGCCTGCACCAAGTGCAACCAGCGGTACCCGTTCGAGGAGCTCTCGCAGGGGCAGCAGCTGTGCAAGGTGCCGGGGAGCGGCGGGAGGGGCAGGGGGCGGGCGGGCGAATCCGCGTAGGGAGGCGCCGCTGCACGAGGGGCGCCGCGGGCGGGACGTGACCGCTGTTCTCCCCCAGGAGTGCCGTATCGCCCATCCCATCGTCAAGTGCACCTACTGCCGCTCCGAGTTCCAGCAGGAGAGGTAGGGCGGCGGCCGGGCCCTCTGGGGCTGGAGGGTGGGCGCTGAGACCGACTGCCCGCACGCCCGAGCGCGGAGGCGGCGCTGCATTCGGGGGGTGCTGGCGCGGAGCCCCACTGACGCTGGTCTTGTCTTTAGCAAAACGAACACCATCTGCAAGAAGTGCGCCCAGAACGTGAAGCAGTTCGGAACGGTGAGCGGCGCCGAGAACACGGCGGGTGGGCGCCGCGGGGGGAAGGGGGGAAGTTGGGAAAGGCGGTAAGGAATTTTGGAAAGGTGTGGAGGGAGGTGGATCTGACCCTGTGACCTGCCGTGCTGAGCTCACGTCTATAGTGCTCCGTCTGGGCTCCCCAGTTTGGGGGGGCTGCGTAGATGATGATGGGCCTGGAGCATCTGTGTGAAGAAAGGCTGAGAGACGTGGGGCTGTTCTGCCTGGAGAAGAGAAGGCTGAGAGGGGATCTCATCGCTGTTCATAAGTGTCTGAAGCATGGCAGTCAAATGGATGGGGCTGGGTTCTTTTCAGTGGTGTGCAGCGACAGGTGAAGGGGTAGTGGACACAAACTGGTACACAGAAAGCTCCATGCAAGCACAAGGAACAACTGCTGTTCTGTGAGTATGACAGAGCACTGCAACAGGCTGCCCAGAGAGGCTGCAGAGCCTCTTTTTCTGGAGATATTAAAAACACACCTGGATGCTTTCCTGAGCAACCTTCTGTAGGGAACCTGCTTTAGCAGGGGGGTTGGGTTCAATGGTCTCTGGAGATCCCTTCCACCCTCTGTGATTCTATGATTCAAAGGTGAGAAAGGTTACTGATAGATTTCCTTCCTGGCTTCCAGTTTGTTTTGTTCGCTTTTAAGTCCCTTGTGGTTAAATGCAGCTTAACAGTCATTTATAATTGCGGTATAGTTAGAAAAAACAATGTTAATTCACTTCATGCATGTAAAGAAAGTCTTTGCCTGTTCTCACGAACACACGCTGACAGCAGAAGGGCCGTTAGCTGCCTGTGTTCTTTATGAGTGCTAAATGTGTCAGTCACTGTGTTGTGTAGTCACACTGTGTTGTGTAAGTCTGAAAATTGCTGTGTGTTAATCATATTAAGCTACTAAGTAGGACAGATTTTGAGTGTTAGCTGTATTCGTGTTACTTTAGGTTTCCTTGTTTTAAATGTCAGCTCCAGTTCTGCTAGAGAAGTTAAACTTTTTAATAGGTGAATGCACACACTGCATCTGTGTGCCCTGCAGACACAAGTTCATGGAAGGTATCAGGATAATCTCGTTTGTGAAACAAAACCTCATAACTTCATCTATTGTAGATGAAATTTAGCTTATTGGAGAAACGTATCAGCTGTTGGCATGTAGGCAGGCATTTAGTGAATGTAAATGTAAGCCAAACAAAGCACAGTATTTGAAAATCTTGAGATGTAGCACGGTAAAGTGCAGTGCAGATCCAACGTTTGTACCTGGGTTTTCATGGCAATTCCAGGATGGTTTTTGACCTTTAAAGGATTATCTTTGTTGAGAAAAAAGTAAGTACTGGAGAGAGAGATGGTTGGAAGAAAGGTTTAAGATGCATCATTTGAAGCCACTGAAGTTTGGAAACGTCCTCATCCTGTGATTTGAATTAACTGTGCTAATACTTCACAGTTTCTTCAATGAACTAACCTCCATTCAATTTGTCTGTTTTTCAGCCCAAGCCTTGTCAGTATTGTAATATTATTGCAGCATTTATTGGCACAAAATGTCAGCGCTGCACCAACTCAGAAAAGAAGTATGGCCCACCTCAAACATGTGAGCAGTGCAAACAGCAGTGTGCTTTTGATCGAAAAGAGGAGGGAAGAAGGAAGGTAAGCTTTGTTCCAGAGCTGTCATGGCTTAGGTTGACAACAGATGTTCCCATTTCATAAGAGACATCTTAATTGTGTGCGATGGGTTGAGAGAGGTTACATGTTGTCTAAGCTGAGATAAGATAAGCATGCATATCTTGTATATACATAGTGCTGTTTTATACTGAAGGGATGTTTGGATTTTTCCTAAAGATAACATGAGTTGAAACTTTTCTTTTTTTTTGCAAGTATTAAAATATATATTTCTAATGTAAGTGTAATTGGGAGAAAAAACTCTTATGAATTATTTCCCAAAAGGTCGATGGAAAGTTGCTGTGTTGGCTCTGCACTCTGTCCTACAAACGAGTGCTACAGAAGACAAAAGAACAGAGGAAGAGTCTAGGATCTTCACATTCAAACTCCTCAGCTTCATCTCTTACTGAGAAAGACCAGCACCATTCAAAACACCACCACCATCACCACCACCACCACCGTCACAGCAGTGGTCACCATAAGTAAGTATTTCAAGAAATGGAATGGTTGGAGGTACGTTTTCCAATTGTGTGCTGTGAGGACTGAGGTGAAATGGAAGGAAATAAGAAAGGCCGCTTAACATATGTCATCAGAAGTAGGAGCAGAATGTTTTTCTCCCATTGTCTGTGGAAATCTTTGTATTCCAACAATTTGGGTGAAGAGAGGACAGGGAGATGCAGAAATTCTCAGCGACCGTCAAACTGCTTGATGTTAAAATTGATAACAGAGAAAAGATACCCACAGGATGGCCACAGAAAAAGAAGTTACTTAGGGATAAACCTGGATTTCTAAGCAGTAATTACCGTGTGCCAACTGCTATTTTGCATGCATTTACCATGGGCTGAAAGGTGTGTGTTAGCAGATTGATATTACAGTAACTGCTTCGCTCAAAATCCCCACCCTAACTTACTTAACTGTGCCTCGTTTGTGTGCTCATAGTTGTGAAATGGAGAAGCAGAAGAAAAGGTATGAGATCACCATCAGTCTAGGACCAGCGTGCATCTCTTTGCTAGTGATAATCAAATCCTGCAGGGTTTCATTATGCTGGCATAGGAAAATAGCACTCGGTTCAGTTACTGACACAGAGAACAGCTCACATGGTTCTTCCTATCTCCTGCAACATTTTTCTGTACGCCATCTCTGGCTGTGGTAGAAGCAGCATACAGCCTTTAATTTAGATACCCAGCTTAACAAATCACAAATTCCAAGGTTGACTTGTTTCTTATACTGTGGTAATAGTGGCCATGATTTTTATTTTCATTGATAGGCTTTGGGCACACTTCAGAATTGCTTGATTTATCTTTGTGTCAGATAACAGCTAGTATGGCAGCAGTGGTGATGACCCCATCACAAGAACAAACTTCCATTCTAAGCTTTGCTTTTCCTTTTTGACTGAAACTTGTTTGGTTAAGTATGGCTTAAAAAAAAAAAAAAAAAGAACTGCAGTGGTATTGAGAAATGTAAATATGCCCAGTTAAAAAAAAAAATCTAGATTTCTTTAGAAACCTGAAGAAAATTCTTCTTTTCCTTCAGAGAATTACTGTACTGTTTTCTCTAATCTGTGAAAGTCAAGTTGCAGCAAGCTAAACCTAATGTAATGCATGAGGTACAGTAAGAGTTTTATAAAGTTAGCTCTTTGTAAAATGGAGCTTCTAATGTTCTCGAGTTAACAAAATGAGCATATTTCTATACAGGTCGTAATGTTGCTTGTTTGGCACCTTTTTTCTGTAGGCTGCCCTGGGTCCATTGCTTCTGGTCCAATAAATAAGACTTTTCCTATCCGTTTCAGTTATTGTTGAGGTGAGAGAATAACACAAGGTAGAAATGAAAAATCATTGAACTATTTGATTCAACGTGGTCTTCTCAGTTTTACTGTTCCTCTGTCAGTGGCATTAAGTGAAGTTACTTCCCAAATGATTGAAGACAGACGTTTAGACTTGAAAGATAGATGTTTTCAGGGATCTAAAATTGAAGGCTGCTAATATGCCATCATTAAGCACCATTTTAGGCTATGCTCACTTTAGAGTATGGGAATTCCGAGACAGACTGGTGTTTTAGACCAGCTTGCTGAGC